GCTTTTCAGTGTAATTCGTGTACCGAATTTGAATTCAATCGGTTGATCCCTGTATTTGATATGGCGGATTGAATTTTTTGTCAAAATCCACAAATCACTCTGTATGTCAATAACGAAGCGGTTTTGGACATTGGTTTATGGCATTTTGCAATCATATTGACAGTCCCTATAACCCCACAAGTCTTGTCGGTTTTATCTCCGGACACCCTGTATATCAATCTACCTATCTAGTGTTTGGAATTTCATTATTAAATGCATGTGTCTGGTATCTTATAACCTCATATACTCATATACCTATGATGATCATAATTATTGGAGTAGCTCTACCTCTCCAGAAGCATATAACTACTATGTTTTACTCGTTATTCGTTGCTATCGAAGGCAATCTGAGGTTATATGAACCTGTCTTAAGTTTCCCACTACAGACATACCTAATATGGCAAAAAATAATGAGAATCGAAAAGCTCCATATGTTATAACGTTATCAGACTACCTATATTGGTGAAGTGATAAACTCAATTTCGTTTCCATTCTCCTATGGAGGAAGAATTCTGATATCAAGAGAGTATCTATCAAGAGAGGCCACTAATATCTGATGATGAATTCTATATTTCAGGATAACCTCGCAACGAAGAACCCATTCCGAAAGAATGCTGCCCAATGAGATGTAGATGTAGATACCACTCACCAGCCAGTGGATAGTCAGTGAGAAGTTTCATCATGAAAGAAGAGAGAGGTTTAGAAGATATCATTCTGTCATTAATAAAATTGTCTGTGTCTGTTTGATATAATATGATGGGAGAATAATTTTGAAAAATAACGAGTTACTAGAACTCTCAGATCTATTAGACGCCTCAAATGACTACCTCGATAGTATGTAACCAATGTCGAGTATTGGCCATTACAGTCTTTTGCCGAGGAACTGAATATGATTGATGATTGATGGGCAACCAGCACGGGGACCGGCTGCCGGCCGCAGTGTACGGATATACAGAGTCCAGCATATGCAGTCCTAGGCCGCTGGGATGGCTTCTGATGTGAATTGCAATTCCACTATCGTGAATAAAATCTCGGAGTCGAAGGAAATGAATTCAGATAACGATGTCACAACCAAAGTCGTGATATGGCTTATTCTCCGGAATCTGTAGCACTCATTATATGCGCAAACAATCAATTCACCAGCAAAATGTTACAAAGATCATCCCATTACCGGTTTGGAGCAATATTCATCAACTTTCCTCTTGTGAGGTCTATGTGGATGATATGGCAGATCTCAACAATGCATTCAATGCTGGATTGTATATTCACGAATATTGAGTGTCGATTAAAGCGAGAAGTGAATGAACAAAACTGAATGAATTGTCGTTACTGGAATTACTTGAATGAAATGCATCAACAATATATTAGAATTAATTGTGTCAAGTCTATTGAATCAACTGTAACAAACAAGTATCCTTACGAACTTCATGTGTAATATAGAGAGCAAATTAGAGGTTATCTAATCGTAATGGTACTTTGTAGGTTATGATGAACGAGTAATACAATGGTTTTGAATAGGTTCATCGCCCAGTCAACATAAGGACCTATTCGAAGGGAATCGATCAGACTTCCACTTTGGATATTTCGAATATCCGGTGTATATCCAGATTATACTTGCTAAATACAAGGTGTTTTACGATCCACTGTACGTACTCATGGTGTATATAGGACCTCACTCCGCCCGTGATTACCAAAATTCATTCACCTGGTATCTCTTCAAGCTTTTGGTCAATTTCCCTGAAATTGAATACACTTACTACCTACACGTTTTGGAGTCAACTTTATGGAATACAAAATATGGATAAATTCGGTCCGGACTTGGAGGATTTTAATCTGAGGCCTCTTAAAGAAACTACACCTTGTACATTGGAATTTTCGATCTCTGCTCATTTTATTCTTGAAACTATATGGATAAGTTAACGGAAGTATTTTATTTACTCCTTTCGTACATTTGGAGTACCTTCAGAATGAAATACCGCTTTCCTAGTAATATCAGTATATCAGTATAATCAGTTAATTCATTCTATACAGAAGTCATGAAACAAGGATATGCGATTTTCAAAATGAATTCCACTAGTCTTTCTGAATTTTAATACTCATTTTAATGGATTTTGAACCATTTCTGACCTGATTAACATAACATTTGTTTTTTTTTTAATCAGCAGGATTACTATATTAATACCGCCATCATTTATTAATTCAACAAAATGCCCCATTTCACTTAAGCTGAATATTCAGATAATCAACATGAATTTCCACTCAATGTGGTTGGATAATTGATTCATTGATTGGGCCTCAAGTATTCCTTCAAAAGTTATCGAGCGCTGTTTATTTGAATTTTCTACAAGATAATATCTTGCCTGGTTTGCAAGAGAACATTGATTTGAAAGAGGAATACATTCCCAACATGATGGTGCACCGCCCCATTTTGGTGTTGACATTAGGGAACACCCAGATTATCAAGATTTCAACCGTCTCGATTATTTTTTGTGGAGACATTTGGAACAAAAGGTCTACAGTGATCTCATTGAAAACAAAGAGCAGTTGTTGCATTGCATTGAAATTTATGGAAGCAGTCAAACAAAAAATCCTTTGAAGATTCGACATTTGATTCCATTTTTTCACTTTCAAGAATCATGAAATGAATATGTGTCTCAGGAAAAAATATTTTATTCAAATAGATAAGTATTTACGTAACCAGTTCGGAAACGCGCCATTTCATGTAACGATGGGATTTTATGGGACGAAGGGAGCGAGATCCCGCGAAACACAGAGCTACACAAAATGCGTTTTCTATTATTATTGGTATTGGTAGGTTGGATGGTGACAGATGCGCTGCGACCCAATTAGATCTATTGTGCCCCATCTGCTCCTGCTATATCAAGGATTTCTTGTTCATAGCAGCCCCTCGAGATTAAATTCCTTCAGGAATTTGAGGATTTTGAGGGGGTCTTGCCGTCCTCCTGTAAGCCTTAGGTGTTCTTTGAGTCTGCAATGCCTCGTTAGGAATCCCGTTATTGCTTTGAGACTTCCTTTGCTGAGGTTTGTCAGTGTCTTAGATCTTTCTCGGTTGAAATTTCCAAGGAGATCTTTAGCCTGCCGTAGTCCTGGAAGTCTTCTCCATTGTCTGGCTCTCCAGACTCCTTCCGCCTTTTCAAGTTCTTCTTGGAAATAGGAATTTCCAAGGCCGCAGAATGGCTCTGGTCCGATCAGTGGCGTTGAAGCCCCTTGTCGTGCCAGAGCGTCTGCTTGTTCATTTCCCTCCACTCCGATATGCCCTGGCACCCAGAGGAGGGTAACTTTATTGTTGCTGCCTAGCTCATTCAATTTGCTTAGGCATTCCCATACTATCTTCGAGTTGATGTAAGGAGAGCTCAACGCTTTGATGGCTGCTTGGCTATCGGATAAAATCGCGATGTCCTTCTTCCGGTATTTCCTGTCTGGGTTGAACTGGATGCATCTTCCTATGGCGTGTATTTCCGCTTGAAAAATGCTGGGGAATTGTCCCATGGATTCGAAGTATTTGGTGCGAGGCCCAAAGACTCCTACTCCAGTTCCCTCGGGTGTTTTAGACCCGTCCGTATACCAAGTAATGGTATTCCTTCCCAGTGATTCGATGGATTCTGTGCTCCATTCGTTTCCTAAGTGTCGTACAATATATTTTCAATTTCGATACAAAATTTTGCTTCAACAGAAATAATGACATGATTTCAACCGATTATGAACAAAATTCAGTAGGCAAGTTGACTTCACTTATCAATTCGAAGTATCCGTCAAACAATAATATGGTCACAAATCAATGACAAAATTCACGAAATGACTCATTTGATATCTTCATTGGTGGAAAATGGCTGATTCAAGTTCAGATTTACCGAGGGACATAGAGGATGCAGCACAAAATGCACTATTCTTTCCTATCAACACAGATATGTCCTAGGTACTTCCCTTTCGCGGTACAAGGACATGATTGGGACGTCTAGGGGATCTCTCGCAGTGGTTGTCCAGTGGACATCTCGCCCGATTCATCCCTAGATTATCCCATTCGTGTCCCTGGAATATCTGATATCAATTTACATCAGGGTCATTAAATTTCATCAAAATATTGAGTTGAATTTATTTGACAATGATTGTTTTCCTTCCGAAAAATAAATGTGATGAAAATCAAGAATATAGTCTGAGAACTTCTCAAGAAATGACCATTTTTCGCAAACAGATATCGTTATAATACAATATGCCCCTCATTTCTAAACACTAAAGAATAATAATAATTCTACATGAAATCCTAACAAAGTTGTATTTATTCAGGTTTCTGTAGTTTAGTACTATTTATGAATCTGTTCAGTACATAAATCTTCAGAAGGCAAAGTTATTCAATGAAGTAATATGCGTGCCTGATAAGCTAAAGGTCCCGGGTTCAACCCCTACTCGACCTACTTTTTTTTTCTTTTGTCGAAGGGATGTCCCTGGAATATCCCTGGGACGTGCTAGGGATATCCTTCGTTTTCTTTTCGGAAAGTAGATGTCCCTGGGACGTCCCTAGTATGTATCCGACAAACGATATCCCTGGGATGTCCTTGTATAAAAGTAGGGACGTCCCTGGGAAGTCCCTAGAAATGACTTGTGTTGTTAGGGTTCTTGTCCATCTATATTTTCATTACGTAACGGATGTTGAAATCAACATTTCATCAGTTATGTAATATTTCACTAAAAGCAACTAGTTACGTGAAGTTATGCATCTCGAAACTTCCATCAGTTTTAAAAAGTGTCAAATCACATGTCAAAATTAGAAAGAGGTACTTTGAATGTGCCAAAGGAGATAACATTTGTTTGTTTATCAATCCATGTACTTTCAGCAATAATAAGCAGAGATCAAGTATAGCCAAGATGGCGCCGGGAACAGATACCGATTCAGTTCTTCCCTGTAAAATCGATGTATCTATCTGCAAACATTGCAAAAAAAGTGTCACCAATAAAGTCAAGTGCAAAGAAGTATTCCATCCAAGTTGTTTCAAACAGTCTTGTCAAGGAAAAAATGTTGTTTGTGAGCATATAACTACTGATGATGGGGACGATCAATATTATAAACCAAGTAAGGAATCAAGCCTTGAAAAAGAAAATATTCTTCTGAAACGTATAATCGACGAATTAGAGAGTAAGAACACCATTCTACATGAAAATTGTGATCTATTGAAAGATAAAATTGACTATCTACAAGAACAAATAATTGATTATAATAACTGTAAAGAGAAGGAAGCAATTGTGGGACATCTGGTCGAACAAAAAAGTAGCGCCAGTTCCACCACAAAAACTTTGTCTGATATCAAGCATATACAAATAGAAGCAAAAACTGGTTCAGCTGACACTATCACCGCAGCTACTAAAAAAGGTAATTCCAAGGGAATCTCCGAACAGATAAAAATAAAAACAAATGACGTGTCGCCAACATTGCTAAAAGAGACGACCAGAAATAAAATGAATGGCATTATTCATTTGGCCGATAATCGAGCTGATAACCCACAAACATCGTCCACATCCATTGATTCAGCTGTTTCTGAGGATAGTACGTGGAAAACCATTACCTCCCGTAAACGAAAACCTGCAAACGTGATTGTTGGTAGAAATAATGCAAATTCTGGATATGCTGGAGCAGTGAAAGGAGTGCCCAAATTTGTAGACCTTCATGTCTACAGAGTGGCTCCCGATACCACGAAGGAAAATATGGAAATCTTACTCAAGTCTAATTTTCCAGAGGTCACCTGCGAACCACTGAAATCACGACATCCTCAGCTCTATGCCTCCTTCAAGGTGAAAATATATGATCACCATTTCAACGAAGCTATGGATCCAACTATATGGCCTGAAAATGCATGCATCAGTCGTTTTTTATACCTCAGAAGAATGGAAGACAAGAAGATTTAACTGCAGTTTTTGATCCCAAACTGTTACTTCTGAATGTACAGAGTATTTCGCCTGATAAAATTGATAATATTCTAATGGATATAAATGGCTTTGAAAATTTAAATTTTATCTGTCTGACAGAATCATGGGAAACTTATGACTCAATCAAACAAGTTCATATTCAAAACTTTCATCTCATTGGCTGTTTCTGTAGGACCTCATCCAGAGGTGGTGGTGTAGGAATCTGGGTTAGAAATAACGTTAAAGTAAATCGAATTGACATTGAGAAATTCTGTTGTGAAAAAGACATTGAAATATCAGCTCTCTCATATAAACAAAAATCAAATAACCCCCTTCTTATTTTGAATTGCTATAGATCGCCGTCTGGAGATCTCCAAACATTTCTGGAAAACCTTGACGATGTACTGAACTATATATACAAACCAAATTCTCAAATTATGATCTGCGGCGACTTCAACATCGATGCAAATACATCAAATAATGATTACCAAAAATTGATGAATATTTTAGCTCCTTTTAAAATTGACAATAATTTAGTCAAGTGGCCAACCAGAGTCACTATCAATAGTTTATCTATCATAGACAATGTTTTCACGAATTTTACTAATGATAGCATTACCTGCGTTCTTGATAATACCATATCAGACCACAGAAGTATCTATGTGGGTTTTAATATTGAAGCACCAAAACAGCATCCGCTATCCCAGTATAAAAGAAATTTTAATGAAACCTCAATTTCCAATTTTTCAAATGATTTAGTGAAAGAAGACTGGTCTAGTATTTATGCCAATACTGAGGTCAATCTGGCGTTCCAGTCTTTTATGGATATATTCTCATACTACTTCAATATTCATTTTCCTTTGAAGAAAAAAAAATCAAGTGATTTAAGTAGTAAATGGGTCAATAGTGAAGTACGAAAATCGAGTGAAAATCTAAAAAATATTCATTTCTTGTCTCAGACTGTCGTTGGAATGGAACCATTTTATAACCAACAGAGAAAAATTCATAATAATTTAGTGAAATCTACAAAAAAATGCTATTTTCAGAATAAAATCACCAATTCGGATAATCCCACTAGATCAGCATGGCATGTAATATCTGAACTTTCGAACAAAGTGAAAGAGCATAATAACATATCGATAAGAAATGAAAATGATGAATTGATAGAAGATCCAACTTCCATTGCGAATAGTTTCAATATTTTTTTCAAAAATGCTCCACTGAATGTTATAAAAAAGTTTCAAAATTCCACAAACTTGTCCAATCCACCAGAAGAACATTTTCCTTCAAATAAGTTTTTATTGCTACCTTACAACCAAGATGAATTATACAAACTCTTATGGTTCAAACTGAAAAATACATTCTCATCTGGATTTGACGATGTACCAGGATTTCTATTACGAAAGACTCTGGGCTTCCTAATTTCACCCCTAACATACCTAATAAATATTTCATATTGTACAGGATCTTTTCCAAATATCATCAAAACTGGTAAAGTTATTCCCATACACAAAAAAGGCGATTTGAATAACATGACGAACTTCCGACCGATCACAGTGCCATCCGTTTTTTCTAAGATCTTTGAATATGCGTATTTGAACAGATTGAATGTTTATCCAAACGAGAATAATATTATATCCAAAAACCAATTTGGGTTCCAGGGTTCAAAGTCAACCAACGATGCGATTCATTCTTTATATTCAAATGTCTTGAGTTCAATTAGCAGAGGCGAGTGTCCTATCGGGGTCTTTTGTGACCTCAGTAAGGCATTCGACTGTGTCGATCACGGATATCTTTATGAAAAACTCCATAATATTGGCATACAAGGAAATGCGCTGAATTGGCTAAAAACTTTTGTCTCAACACGGAAACAATTTGTCAGTATCATTAATGTTAATAACGACGTGAAAAGATCATATACATCCAATTATGTGGATATTAATGTTGGTGTCCCTCAGGGCTCAGTGCTGGGCCCAGTACTTTTTTTGTTATATGTGAACAATATTGAATCCATCTCCAAAGAGGCTCATTTCACATTATATGCAGATGATAGTTCACTTGTTATATCAGATAAAATAGATCAAAATCTACAAATTGAAGGTAACTTAATTCTACAAAATTCAAATACCTGGTTTAAGGAAAACTCCCTATATCTGAATAATCAGAAAACGCACTTGATACGATCCCATACTAGACAAAAAGAAGTTGCCAGTCTCAACTTGAAAATTGAAGAAGATTAAATCTCTCCTTGCTCTACGGTAAACTTTTTAGGTGTACACTTGAATGAATTTATCAGGTGGAAAGTTCATTGTGAAACAATTATATCAATACTGAACTCTATGAATTTCCTTCTTAGAAACCTTCGTCATATTCTCGAACAAAAACAGCTGATTATGCTGTATTATGCCCAAGTCGAATCTCGCCTTCGGTATGGTATTACTTTCTGGGGATCTTCTTCCTCATGCAGAGATGTTTTTGTCGCCCAGAAAAAAATTATAAGATGTATAGCAGGAGTCTCGAGAAGTACAAGCTGCAAGAGCTTTTTTAAAAATTTCAAAATACTTACATTACCGTGCTTGTATATATTCGAATTATGCGTTTTTGTATTTGACAACCGTAACTGTTTTGTAAGGAATGAAAATGTGCATACTATTAATACTAGATCTAAGACAGACTTTTATGTACCATTTTGTAGAAACTTATTGACCTATAATTCTCCAAATGTGATTGGGCTCAGATTATTTAATCTGCTCCTCATTGAACTGAAAAACTCTAGTACTATCTATAGCTTTAAAATTGCACTCAAGTCCTTCCTTTCAGAAGGAAATTATTACCTCATTCAGGAAATAATTGAATAAGTATTTGGTGTTGTAATCCATTTTCAACTAATTGTCCTTGAATAATGTGTTTATGTACTAATTGTCCTTGAATAATGTGTCTATGTGTTACTGCTTGTAAAATTTCTACTTACTTATTTTAGCTTTCATTGTTAAGGTTCTTTCGTGACTAATCCTACACAATGTAACATTTGATTGTCTTACAGGTTAATGAAAAAAAAAAAAATCTTCCAATGTACAGGCTGTACTTTTTTTGAGAGACGTCAGATTAAAATTCACCAATGCTGGGCCTGGAAATTGGTTACATTTTTGACTCCGATTAGTGAACTATAAGTGTGTGAATTTCAAGAAATTTGATCAAACGATCGATATAGCAGGTGGATTGATTTTGGCTAAAAATGTAACATGACCCTGTATCTTGATTATCTCCTACGTCGAATTGACCAATTCGAATATTATTTTTTATTGGCAGAGGTTATATATTGTACCTACATCATGAGTATGTATGTACAGTGGCTCATGAATCACCATGTATTTTATCAGAACAAGCTGAACTTCCATGAGATATTTGTTACATATATTCGATAAGGATGTTCCGGTCCCATTAAATATTTTTGTTTTTTTTGCTCCTATAGATATAAAGTGAAATTTATGCAAATCGTGAATTTTATTTTTCAAAATGTTAGCGCGAATGCAATGACAACATTGGTCTTGTGCTCATAAACGTGCAGGAGGAAGCACGTGATTTCCCCCTCCATAAGTGTGGCCAGGAGGATACACGAGGGACAGGAAGCTCTCTCTCGATCGCGACGGCAAGATCTCAAATTCTCATCGTGATATTCTCGATTGACAATTTTATGTAATTTCTTATAAAGTGTACCGCAGTGTACTTAATTAATAGTTTTCAACTGTTTATAATCGCACCCGGTATAATACCCAGTGACCGGAGTCCAGGACGGCCGTCCAAGAAGCAACCGGAAAAGGTGACCCTCGAGGTAGCCATATACGAGAAGCTGAAGGTGAGCGAAATAATAACTGATCTTGTCATTTCCGATTTTTCTACAATCAATTTTACTATAATCTCGCCCATAAAATGGTCCTTCGAGCCGGATGTAATAAAAATTAGCTCAATTTTCAGTTATTTTTCATATTTTTCAGCTTCATTAATTGGGAGAAATATTTTATACTGATTTGCATAAATTTCTCAAATATCTCTGGCCGACATTTTTGTTCGTCGTTCCTGCGATTCTATAAACTTAAGTACCGGTTTGTCAATTAGTCGCAAATTATTGGCACTTATCGGTCACCTGAACGCCCCCACTTTCTATAATTTCATTATCAACGGACATTCGTACAGCGACTATCTCGTGGTTGTTGACCTCTCGATTTGTTTACTTTTGGTTTGTGTAGGTATCAAGCAATATATGTTCAATTGAATGAAAATATCAGTTTGATAATTTAGACCATAGGTAACCACTCTAATTATTAGCTGTTCGGGAAAATATGTTGGATAAACACTCTCAAGTAGTTGAAAACAATTTATATGTCAATATAATATGTGCGGAATAAAATACATAGCGCTCTCTCTTCCTCTCTCTCTCTAAAATTGGTCAGTTTATTGATAATATCAATCGCTGTCATCGATAGTAATAATCTCACACTCCTGAATTTACCCACGCCAGTGCAGTGCTAAGGGCTAGTGTAAATTGATAGTCATAAATCTCAACCACTAATATTGATGGTTAGTTGGTTAGGCAATAGAAACTTATAATGTCTGAAAGTAGTAAGAAACTCAAACAATACTGTGCTCAAAGAAGTACAGAGGTAATAAAATTATCTGAACTCAAAAATGTTGCTGATCAAGCACTAGCTGATACATCCTTCCACAACAATTTTAAGTGTCGATACCGGCAAATAGATTTAATTGAAGAAGCGTTCAGAATGCTTCACAATAATATTATTAATATAGTTTCTACCCCAGAGACTCCCGACTTGGAAACACAAAACAAAATACTTACTGATTTTCAAAATAATTTCTATCACGTTCAA